AAACAACTCTGGCTCATCGCACACACGCCCTTCCTGGGGTCATGATCAAGTGCCTTCTAAGTCCACTGCAGAGTTTGGAGTACGTGCAAGAGATGATCCCTGCCAAGTCTGTCAGAGCATCTAATGGAAAGTTCTGTGCTTCCAAAGTGCCCAATGATTTAAGAAAGTTCCAAGTCTGCTATTATCAGCGAGGCGGTAAGATTCCAAATGAATTCCGTGGGCTAAAACCACTTTCTAACTATGCAAGGAAAGACAATGCAGGTGGTTGCTCTTCTGCATCCCTGAGTAAAGAGCCTATCCTTTCTGTGTCTCAGCTTCCCTTACAAGATGAAATAGGACCACACAATGTTAACTTCCTTCCTACCTAGACTGCTCTACTATCACTTCATTTTATTTAAATTTCAACAGGCCAAAAATAACCCTAACCTGTAGAAAAACACGTGTGTACATATACTCATTACTTAACAAACTTAACATTCAGTGTCAGTAAGAAACTGCCTGGTGCAGCTTTTTATGCTGTGGGCTGAAGCAATGTATTACTCACACTTCAAGGACTTACGCCCGAGCAAAGTTTCTTAAAAAAGTTTCTTAAAACGTATGCTAAAAATCAGACTAATTTTGGAAAGGCCCTTCCTCTACTTTGAACAGACTGTTTTAGAAGTTAATTTCAGAGTTCATTTGCTACAAGGTTTTTAAACACAACACACACCCTAACAGTTTCACCAAAAACACTTCTGTCCCTTGGGATGTACCTCCTACCCTCCAACAGACTGAATGAAGATGAGAAAGGGCAAAAACTAAGAGCCTTAAGATACTTTTAGAAAAATTATATTAACTATTCCCATTGTCATCTAAATCCACACTATTAAAAAAAAAACCACCTAATATTCAGCTAATTCTTATCAGTTAAGATAAATAGGTCTAGAGAACCCTAATTATAATGACACATGGGTCCCCCTGGTTGTTATTTTTTAGTCCGGTCTCTGCACTCACACTAAGAATACCCCTTAAGATTTTGGGGTTAAGGGGATCCCTGGGTGGCACATCGGTTTGGCGCCTGCCTTTGGCCCAGGGCGGGATCCTGGAGACCCGGGATCGAATCCCACATCGGGCTTCCGGTGCATGGAGCCTGCTTCTCCCTCTGCCTGTGTCTCTGCCTCTCTCTCTCTCTCTCTCTGTGTGACTATCATAAATAAATAAAAAAAATAAAATAAAATAAAACTAAATTAAAAAAAAAAAAAAGATTTTGGGGTTAAACATGAAAACTTTCCCCTTCCAATAAAGACCCAAAAGGGGGGGGGGGGGAATAAAGGGCAGAGGCTGCTAAGGTCAAGCCACTTGTTTGTTCTCTGTGTTTTCTCTTTCCTTGTTACTTTGTAGTGATCTGAAAAATTTTAATGGTCTTGGTAGGATAAGTATCTTTCAAAAAAAAAACCCCCAAACTGAGGCCTTTGCATTTAAAAAATGTTCTGCTTTTATTTACCCAGGTAGCAGCACCTTTTTTAAGGCATTCGCCTATGTATAACCAAAGCCACATTTCCGTGGAAACGTCTAAGGTAATTTGTAGATAAAAATATTAAAGCTGAGGGACGCCTGGGTGGCTCAGCCATTGAATGTCTGCCTTTGGCTCAGGGTGTGATCCCAGAGCCCCAGATCAAGTCCCACATCGGGCTCCCTGCATGGAACCTGCTTCTCCCTCTGCCTATGTCTTTGCTTCTCTGCGTCTCATGAACAAATAAAATTAAAAATAAAAATATTAAAGCTGAAAGCAAAGAGCATTCCTCTACTACAAATTGAAATAAAATTCAAACCTATAATAAGGCCACCCCTAGAGAACAAATTAAAGTTAAATCCAGCTAGTTTTTACCCGTCCAAATAACTGTCCAAGATCAGGAATGTGCCTTTGTGCAAGGCCCAATAGGAAGACGCAGATTGATAAATGATTTCACTTTTTGCTCAATGAAGAGAAAAATGAGCCTGACTTATACATTAACTACCACGATTCATCTAGCCTGGTGTTACAAAAAAGTTTGTTCCCATACCAGTAAATTATATCTCAACTTTAAAATAGTATCCTAAGGCTCACAAATCATTAAATCTAAGTCATTGGAGTTAAAATTTAAGGCCTTTGTTTCAAACACCAATTAAAGTTTTGAAAATAACCTTAGACCCCAATTTCTTCCCTTTTTCTAGCTGGAGATCTAAAATTGCTTTCAAGCTAATACTGTATCATAGCATTTATTTGGAAAAATATTTTCCAGCTACAGGAGCAAGAAAATTCTTTTTCTCTGCTCCTATGATTTGAGAGAAGTCTAGGACCTAGCTGCCTCTGGATATATTTAGCAAAATCTCTCAGAACTTCCGGCCTGTATTCTGGGAGACGGCACATACCATGGTCAAGAGCAGAGAGCTCACCAGCCAAGCTCTGGGCTCACCAACCCTGCCTCTAATTAGTTGTGCATCTTTAGGCAAACCACTTTACTTTTCTATGCTCCAGTTTTCCCACCTGAAAAGGAGAGATAATACCACCTACAAAAATAACAGGAAGAAAATGCACAAGTAGATTAAAAGTTTCTCTTTATATAACTCATCTGCCAAGTCAGTTCATATTCTTCACCTTAGTGGTATCTAGGAAGAGATATTTACTATTTCCATTTTATAGATAATTGTGATTTACTTGTGGCATACATAATTCAAACACCTTACACACTTAATTTCCTGGTATGTGGCAGTTAGGAGAAAAATGTAACTTTTGGAAATTATTAAAAAAAAAAAAAGCAACCTTAATTATCTCAGAATTAAAGCAAACTCCTTCCAAACAAAAGTTCTTCAAGGCACATGCAAAAGAACTCTAAAATGACTTAAGTATTTCAGGAAAGACACAAGAAACAGTTTCTCTTCACTGAGTTAGGCTTTAGGAAACTCACCTCATTGGCCCTAATTTAGAATTAAAAAATAACATTTTCATTAACATTTGATTACATAAATTAACAAAAAGAGTAATCTACTAATAATGAGTCATTTTATTATTTTCCTTTCCATACCCAATTGTCAAAAAGCAGCCAACTGCCCCCTAAACTTAATAGTTTTGTGCTATAAACATGACAACCTATTCCAGTGGTGAGGATTCAATTATTCAGGGCTTAACTTCCCATTTTAAAAGTTTTTCCTCTGCTTTTTGCTTCTCTAGCCCGCCCTGGGTTGACCTGGCCTCATTACTTGTTAACTCCACCCCTGGAGAAGCAGAGCACAAGAGGCCACACATTCAGAGCGCTGGTAACCAGTCTCTGCAGGGCTGAATGGGATGGTCATAACCATCCAGGCGGGGTCTACCAGTAAATTCAGATTACCAAGACAAATAAAAAGTGCCTGCACTGCCTGTTAAGTATAACAAAGGCAAGCTAGTCCATCTTTCAGACTAATGATTAGAGTGGTTTAGCCACTCCATGTCTTTGAACAAGTAAGAACAAGACACATGAACCAAGAAGTTGATTAACAATACATTGTTTGCTTCTGTGATACCAATGCACAGGTTTTAGAAAGGGAGTAAAGATCATTTTCTATAAACGGCAATTAAAACAAAACAAAACTACTAAGAGTCTTACTGAAAATAAGATATCAGAAGTGTCCAATTTTTTTTAAATGACAATTTATAATCCTGTTCCCAGGCATCACGACATAAACAGAGGGTGAATGATCAATACAAAAAGTTAGACCGGCTGTACCTCTGAACTAATATAAACATCACTTAGCAGGATTTGCAGACACAAGTAAAGAAATACTGATACAGAGAAAATAATAACTAAACGCTCTTCTAATAGACTTATAATCTAAAAGAATAATGGAAACTCAATTACTGTCACAGTTTCATCACTGGATGCTCATGGAAGCCTCTAATCTCTGCTTTTCTTTCATCCTCCAATTGTCACATTAAACAAAAGCTCAATTGCTTTTCTATTAATCATTTTTACAACACAAGAAAAAGGGAAAAAGCCTTGTTTTTCCCTGAGATTGTTAAAAGGGGGATAGGAGTTACAGAAACTCAAGTCTCCACACAGAAGGATCGAATCTGTGCTTGTTCATTAACCGTCCCACATAACACATTCATGTGTATGACCTATGTGAGAGTTAACGGATTTCTTCCCCCTTGTGGGGGCGAGGGTAACTTTGGATTTCCGGTAAAGACTGGATATAGGTCAAATCCTATTACCAAGAATTAATTAAAATACAAATTATTTTGGTTGTGCAAAAACTGTGATATGCTGAGTTTCTGTGATACACAGAGTTCTGCTTTAAATTATATGGCTCAGGGATCTCTGCCAGCGAGGAGCTTCTCAGTCGGGGTGACAAGGTGTTAAGGGTCACAATTTTCCGGTATGTAAATGATTGGAGGCGTCATTTAAATGTTAGCCTCCTTCCTCTGTAGGGCAGTCCCTAGAGCGGGCACAGAAACTCTGCCAAAGCTCTCTTTTCAGGAAACCAAAATTTCAGGAACTGTTTCCCCCTCTCCCTACTAGCTCCCCTCCACCCTGCAACATGTTAGAACAACATGATAAAAAAAAGTAGTAACGCTTAAAAAAAATAGGATTTTGTGTATACATAATCTATTCTGAACATTTATGTAGCTTCTCGTAAAAGACATAAATGAAAGCAACAAAATATACTTGTCTTAAGAATAATTAATGGCTCATAAACTATTAGAAAATAGCTGGGTTTCTGAAATTCAACTAGACAGCTCAAAGATGAACTTCCCAAAGTCCATCAAACTTCTAACAAATTCTGGGCTGTGTGTATGTGCTAATATGTGCAGAGATATACCGCTTCGCTGGGGGAAAGGTACACAGCTTCCTCAAAGGGGCCGTGACTCAAAAAAAAGTTGAAACCACTGCAATCAAGTAAGATCAGTTTTATTTATTCGAAGAATAATTTTAAGTACACAAAGAAACGGTTATTTAGCTCAAGTCAATGAAAACAACAGAGACTCTGACCACACTTCCTACCTCTGTGTCCCAGGAATCATGAAAGACAGGGTTTCTACTACTCCTTTTGGTCTGCGGGGGAAGATGGTGGTCTTCTTCATTGCCATTCCTTCTCCTTTTCCTGAAATTAAATCACAAGAAGAAAAAAAAATCCAATAATTGATCCTCTGGACACCTGAAATTGTAAATCATAACAACAAATTTGCCCTCTTGCCTGATAAAACACAACTCGTCATATGCTATCCCAATAGGTAAAAAGTTGGAAGTACACCATCGCTGGCCACAAAGAGTGAAAATATAAAATAGCAGCAGTAGGGGCGAGCTTAAATTAGTACAACTGACTTCTAAAAAGAAGCTTGGCAACTTTAAATGCCTACTGGGAATAAATAAGTACAGGGTGATGCTAATGACTAAGCTTCCAAATTCCACCTCATTAAGGTTATCTTCCCTCTGCATTTCCTGAAATCACAATTTCAGGTTATTTCATCTGACCCCCTTCCACATGACAGTATGTAAGACAGGAGTGGCTGCCTCTGCCCACATACCCCAGCAGTATCATCAGAGGTCCAGGGGTCTCTAATCTGCAGTTTTCTTTCATCCCTGATTTTCCCCCAATTACTACATGCAACAAAAGCTCAATGCCCTCTCAACGTATTAGATCACTCTTCCCAATCATCATTGGAAAGGCTGCTCTGGGGACACATTAACTCTTGTTACTCTACACCATGCATCACCATGCACGCACGTATTGTGTGTCATTTCACCAGATTGCTACTTTTTGAGTTTACAGCACACGCTGCTGCTCAAAATCTTCAGGTCTAAGGAAAAACCACACATTTACCACAGAACCACACATTTACCACAGATGCACAACAGACACAATCTGTATATACTTGATTCAAGAATGAAGTGCTCCTTGAAGGGGCAGCCCCGGTGGCTCAGCGGTTTAGCGCTGCCTTCAGCCTGGGGTGTGATCCTGGAGACCTGGGATTGAGTCCCACGTCAGGCTCCCTGCATGGAGCCTGCTTCTCCCTCTGCCTTTGTCTCTGCCTCTCACTCTTTGTCTCTCATGAATAAATAAAATCTTAAAAAAAAAAAAAGTGCTCCTTGAAGGACTTCTAAGCCCCTAGAAGACTCTAGAAAATAGAAATAGAGGAGGCATCATTTGAAGGCAAGCTGCCTGCAACTGTGCTGTCCAGTATGGTAGCCACTAGCCACGTGAGCTTATTTACATTTAATTTAATATCCAGTTCCTTAGTCACCCTAGCTACATTTTCAGTGTTCAAAGGCCACAGGTAGCTAGTGGCAACTGTACTGGACAGCACAGATACAGGGCATTCCCATCTCTGCAGAAAATGCCACTGGATAGCACTGGCAAGAGGCCAGCTTATACAAAGCAGCATAACCTGTTATAATGAAAACCCTTAAAAGATTCAAATTTCTATAGCAAGAGGAAAAAACAGCTTTGGGGAAAGTGCTGAATTTGAGCACAGTATCTTCTATACAACTGTACACTTTCTTTGGGAGCAGTGTGGCATACTACGGCAGGTGCATGATCCTAAGGTTCTGAGTTGAAGTCTTGATACCAGAGAAAACTTAAGTTCTCACCCTGAGCTCAACTCCCTGTATTCTGCAATACTCCTGAAATCTGAATACATCTAACTTTATTAATGAGTATAGATCCAGTTTAGGCTTGGAGTGATAAATTGGGAGTGTGTGGTTCTGATAAAGCATTCACCAAGCTGCAAAGGGGTATACCACTGGCCTTGTTCTAAGACTCGGCTGTTTCTGAAACCATCATTTCTGCTCTGTAACCTTTCTCCCAGGGTTTTAGATCTTAACTGCACGTTACTTTGAAGTTATTTGGAGGTTCAAAACTAGGTGAAAAGCAGGTTTGATACTCATTTAAATGGATGTGCTACTAACCACAGATTTGAACCAAGGAATTACTACTTTCATCATAATATGACCGGAGAATTGTTTTGGAGATGAGCAGCAGTGACACAGCAAGGTCCAACAGAAGGCCAGCTGACACCCCAGGGAAACTCACTGAATGCTGGCCTCCAAACTCTTATCAATATGCCAGCAGCTGACTGTGCTCTGGGCTGCTGAGCTACTCTAACCGCTTATGAGCCTGACCCAAAGTTTCCAATGTCCTCATTTATAATCCAGGCTATAGCTTCCCAATGACAAGAAAAGAAATGTCAAGAAGGTTCTCAGGCAAAGTGTAAGAACAAAAAGGATGGGCTGGTTTTTCAGATTCCAACTAACTTTCTGGGAAAGTACCATGAAATATCCCTGCCTCATACCCAGCTGCTTTCTCAGGGCACCCAAATTAGCTCCTGTCAGGGGCCCTCTCCTTTGGATAGTACTCGATTAAGAATGAGCCCTCCTGTTCTCTCTCCTTTTCTAGGCTCTTTGCAGATTCCATCCTGGAAATATCCTTTCAACAGTTATTGTTAATAATTGCCAAGATTATAGCAGGTTCAACCCTACTCACAAAGTCAGATTACAGCCTTCCATACTAATGCAACAGACCAGGTTATAATTTTAGCAGCCACCATATAATTGATTATATTCTCCCCAGGCATCTAGTTACAGATTGTTGTTTAGCATCTGCTACTTCTAAGGATGGCTGATTACATCACTACCCATCATTTCATTTCTTCCCAATCTTCCTGTCATCTCTTAGAAACTGAGCATAGAAGAAATCTTTAGGAGTATCCACATTAGTGTTTTTCAAACTTTAAAAAAAAAAGTAACAGAGCCCTTTCTTTCTCTGGGGGTGGGGGGTAATCCCTCAATACATATATATGTATACATATACATATATGTACACACGCATATATATGCATATATACACACATATATAGATGTGTACACTCATATATATTACATATATACAGATATATATATATACACACATATATTACATATATACATATATATGCATACATACACACACACATATATATATGCGTATACACTCATATATAAAAGAAACAAAGGACTTCTTTTCGTTAAAGTAGGGGTTTCTTTGACATACATCTTCCCTTCTATGGCCATCCCAGTATATTTTGGAACAGTCTGAAAATCACCATCTCAGATCAACCCCTTATCTTAAATTGAGAAAACAGATCTAGAAAACTGAACTGACTTGGAGATATTATGACAGCCGCAGCTGGCAGAGCTGGTCCATCATATTCCATGAAACACTGGGTGAAAAAGTAGGTGAGAAGCCCCAGTCCAAATCACATGGTTTCTTTTATAGCAATGATGTTACCAGTATAAACACGCCGGCGTTATTTGTGTGCTAGATAAAAGGCATCTGCTACCGGTATAAAAAAGCACATTCAGATTTGCTTATCCAGCCGTGGGTAAAAGAAATCTTTCTGCAGGAAATATGTAGGCTTTTTCAGATACACAGACATCACAAGAAACTATCAGAAGGATCAACCAGGTTTGGGAAGGAAAACAACGGCAGGTAGATCTGGCTCACTCTGCCGAAGGATCCTGTTCCTAATGCCAATGCCAGGTCCGTAACTGGGCCTCTCATTTCAAATTTAGACCGCTCTTTTTTCCTACAACAAGCGGGCTTTTTCATGCCCCCACTCACTACGTACCCGAGACTCAATCATCCAACAACCCAGTGCATTAGTACGGGTGACCCTAGGTTTTTCCCTACTGGACCAAATAAAACCTCGGGATGTTTCCCAGGATCCTCATCCCTGAATCAACCATCCTCCGGGGCCGGCGCAGGATCTCGGTGCGAAGACCGCCAATTACATTCGGAGCCAACGAATAAACACGGAGCAACAAGAAGAGATCCAGCAGAACCTAGCCGAGGCGATCCTCCTGGACTCGCTTGGGCTTTACGGAGAGGAGCGGGCAACCTGGGAGGACGGGCGCGGCGGACCAGGGGAACTCGGTTTCCTCATCAGAAGAAGGGCGGTGTTGGGGCTTGGGATCCCACGACGAGGAGGGGGTTCTTCTAACCGGAGGTGGAGCTGCTCCTCTTCACCTGGGGTGCCCGCACCCCACTTTCGCCTCCCCCACCCACCTTCTTACAAGGGGGAGGTAGGGGATGAGACAGAAGCCCCCGCGCGCCGAGCAGAGGCAGCCGCCGTCGGTCCGGGGGAGGCCGGGGTCCAGGCCAGGCTCGGTGCACAGGGCACAGGGGCACAGGCGCACAGGGGCACAGGGGCACAGGGGCACAGGCGCACAGGGGCACAGGGGCACAGGCGCACAGGGGCACAGGGGCACAGGGGCACAGGCGCACAGGGGCACAGGGGCACAGGGGCACAGGCGCACAGGGGCACAGGCGAACAGGCGCACAGGGGCACAGGGGCACAGGCGCACAGGGGCACAGGGGCACAGGGGCACAGGCGCACAGGCGCACAGGCGCACAGGCGCACAGGGGCACAGGCGCACAGGGGCACAGGGGCACAGGCGCACAGGGGCACAGGGGCACAGGCGCACAGGGGCACAGGGGCACAGGGGCACAGGCGCACAGGGGCACAGGGGCACAGGCGCACAGGGGCACAGGGGCACAGGCGCACAGGGGCACAGGCGCACAGGGGCACAGGGGCACAGGGGCACAGGCGCACAGGGGCACAGGCGCACAGGCGCACAGGGGCACAGGGGCACAGGGGCACAGGCGCACAGGGGCACAGGGGCACAGGGGCACAGGCGCACAGGCGCACAGGGGCACAGGCGAACAGGGGCACAGGGGCACAGGGGCACAGGGGCACAGGGGCACAGGGGCACAGGCGCACAGGGGCACAGGGGCACAGGCGCACAGGGGCACAGGCGCACAGGCGCACAGGGGCACAGGGGCACAGGGGCACAGGGGCACAGGGGCACAGGGGCACAGGCGCACAGGGGCACAGGGGCACAGGCGCACAGGGGCACAGGGGCACAGGGGCACAGGGGCACAGGCGCACAGGGGCACAGGGGCACAGGCGCACAGGGGCACAGGCGCACAGGCGCACAGGGGCACAGGGGCACAGGGGCACAGGCGCACAGGGGCACAGGGGCACAGGGGCACAGGCGCACAGGGGCACAGGGGCACAGGGGCACAGGCGCACAGGGGCACAGGGGCACAGGGGCACAGGCGCACAGGGGCACAGGGGCACAGGCGCACAGGCGCACAGGGGCACAGGGGCACAGGGGCACAGGGGCACAGGGGCACAGGCGCACAGGCGCACAGGGGCACAGGCGCACAGGGGCACAGGGGCACAAGGGCACAGGCGCACAGGCGCACAGGGGCACAGGGGCACAGGGGCACAGGGGCACAGGGGCACAGGGGCACAGGCGCACAGGCGCACAGGGGCACAGGCGCACAGGGGCACAGGGGCACAGGGGCACAGGGCACAGGCGCACAGGGGCACAGGGGCACAGGCGCACAGGGGCACAGGGGCACAGGCGCACAGGGGCACAGGGGCACAGGGGCACAGGCGCACAGGGGCACAGGGGCACAGGGGCACAGGCGCACAGGGGCACAGGGGCACAGGGGCACAGGCGCACAGGCGCACAGGGGCACAGGGGCACAGGGGCACAGGGGCAGCAGCAGCGCGGTGCAGCCCTACCTCCCGCCTTCGGAGGCAAACGGCTCCGCGTCCAAACAGTTTAGAACCCTGCCTGCTGAGCCCGGACGAGCCGCTCTGGGCCCCTGCCCCGCCACGCTCGCAACCGTCCGAGGGCCCCCGTCCTTCCGTCCGTGCCTCCCCATCCCTCCCCGCTGCAGGCTCACAGCCAACCCTCCCGTCTGACCTTGGGCACGCGGCAGCCTCGCGCCCCGGCCCCGCCAGGACGCCCCATGGGGGCTCCGTCTCTCGGACCAGACCGTCCTCCCATCCCCCCGCCCTCCTAAATTTAGGACAGCGGAGCTTTAGGGCCACGGCCTCTCCCCCGGGGCCGTTCCGACGGCGTTCCAGGTAGGGAGGGCCCGGGGGGGGGGGACCCGGCGAGTGACCCCTCCGGCACCCCGGGGGCCAGGTCCCGGCGCATCCCTCCTCCTGCTCCCGCTCCCGCTCCCGCTCCCGCTCCCCGCCCCCTCCCCGGGCCGCACGGCACCCAGAGGCACAGCCGCAGCGCCCACGCCTGCTCGGACCCCCCCTCCGCGCGCCCCCTCGGCTCAGCCCCCCGCCAGGGGCTGGGGAGGAAGGGGGTCCCCGCGGTCTCACCTGGGGCGGAGGCGCTCGCTCATGGCAGCCGGTGGAGGGGAGCGACGCGGGGCCGCGCCGCGAGCGGAGGGAACCGACGGGGCTGCGCTGCGGCGGCCGCCACGCCCACCCCCTCGGGCCTTGGCTCTGGCCGCGGCGCGGGTGGACGCTGCCGGCGGCGAGTACCCCTCGGTGGGACCCGTACCGCCGCGACTTCCGGCGTCCGCTCCGCGCCCCCCCATGTCGCGGCCGCCGTGGTACCGCCCTCTCGCGCCTGCGCACTGGCGCGAGCCCGGCCGCGCCGACCGGTAACCCCGCCCCCAGGAAGAGGCGGGCCCCGAGCGGGGCGGGGCGGGGCGACCCGGAGCTCCTGCGGGGGCGGGGAGGGCCTCGGGAGAGGCGGCCTCGGCTTTCGCCTGTTCGCAGCCGAGCGGGCGCGCCGCGCAGTCCGCCCAGGTGCAAACCGGACTAAATTGTGTCCTCATAATACGGCGCGGGGACCTGAGTTAGGCCCCTGCGCGCGGACGGGGTTTCTGAAAGCACGGCTGGGAGGCGTCAGGCAGTGACGCGGGCGGCCCGCGGCGGGGGGCCTGGGGCCGGGGGCCTGGGGCCGTGGCCGGGGGGCGCGGGGGCTTCCGGAACGCCGCACCTGGCCAGGTGAGGACGCCGCTCGGGGCGGGCGCGGCAGGTCGGGCTGTGTCCTGCGGCCCACGGCCCGTGTCGGGGTGGGGGCGGGGCGGGGTGCTTCCCGGGGGACGGGGACTCGGTCGGGGGGCGGGCGAGCCCTTCCGGCGTCCGTGCGGCTCCGGCGGTCCCCGCCCCCTCGGGGGAAGCGGCGGCTCGGCTTCCGGAAACGGTGAGGGAGCGGGGCGCGGGGCGGGGCGGGGCGGGGACCGCGGGGGGGGGCGGGGCGGGGGCCGGGGAGCAGGGCGGGGCTGGGATGGGGAGTGGGGCGGGGAGCGGGGCGGGGAGCGGGGCGGGCCGGGGACCGGCTGGGTGGAGGGAAGGGGGCCCGCCGGGTAGGAGGGCGGGGCTGGAACCGCAGCTGGGGGGGTGGGGGGCGGGGCTGGGGACGGGGCCGGGGGGGGGGGGAGAAGAAGGGCGGGCCGGGGACCACGGCTGCGGAGGGCGGGGATGGGGAGGGGACGGGGAGAAGGGTGGGCGGGTGGGCGGGGGACCGCGGCTGGGGGGGCATGGGGGCGGGGAGGGGGAGGGGCGGCTGGCTGGCGTCCTCCGGGCCCTGCCCCAGGCAGGCGGGCGCGGCTTTAACTGTTTGCGTCCCGGAGCACCGATTCCGTGCCGCGCCGCGCCCCTTCGCTGGCTGTGCAGCCGAGTCCCTTTTCTGATGGTGTCTGTGCAGGGCCGATCGTTGAAACCCAGCCCTGCCCGACTGGGGAACTGCGACCGTGAGGCATGCAGATCCTAGAGAAACGACCAGAGAATAGCATTCTCGTGCAGAAGCTCCAGTAGGAAAGTGGTCCGTCCCCCCACGGTAAGACGCAAGCACGTGAGGGTGCAGGACCTTTCCAGTAGGCTTCAGTTGTGCACATTTTTTAAGTCAGCGGCCCGTTGATTATATCGTGAAGGGGGGGTACTTCCAAAGGAAGAATAATTACAAGGTTGTTTTTGTTTTTGTTTTGGCGGGGAACAGCCTTGTTTTGCCCAAGTTCATAGAGGATCCTAAATGGGTTGGCCAGGATTGTCTGTGTTGTTTATAAGTGGTTTCCACCTCACTTCCTCCCGTATTTAGTGATCAAAATGTATTCACAGGCATAGTCCTCTGTGGTGATAGCGTCTGCGTGTTTGCATCTAGAGAAGGAATCCTTTCCACCGCTGTCCTGTGCCAGGCTCAGTGCTCGAAGAGGGACAAGTGGTACAGGGTATCCATTATTTTTTCATGTTTTTGCGTGGTATGAATATCACAAAGGTTTCAAACCAAACGAATTTGCCCAGGGGTCTATTGCACTGCAAACTATAAAGCAAACAGTAGAGCACTGTGCTCCCCTCCGTGTATGTTATCATTTGTGCATCATGAACCCTTTTACGTGTGCGCAGATGTGTGTATACACATGTTACTCGTAAGGTGTTAGAGCTTCATTTCTCATGCAGAAATGATGGAAGGTCTAATAACCTCTTGTACTACAGTGTAGTGGATCTCCCATGTACCGCTTTGAAAACCGTGACTCTGAGCAACAGCCTTCAGGTCCTGGCCTGAGTTCTTACTGTTCACCATTCTCAGTTGATGTGTTTAGGACTTTTAACAGTTTCTTTATCCTCAGGCAGTAACTAGTTGACTTGCTGTGATCTTAAAGAGCAAACATTTTAATCTGGTATTTTGAAGATTTAATGGTGTATTTATTTATTTGAGGAGAGTGAGCTAGCAGGGGGAGAAGAAGTAGACCCCATTGAACAGGGAATCCTACTAGGGGTTGGATTATGAGCATTATGGACCTGAGCATTATGACCTATGCTGAAGACAGATGCTTAACCAACAACCCCCGAGGCACTCCCTAACTCGTATTTTGGACAACTTTTCCTTCCATTAGCCATTAATTTCTTAGATTTAGGTCTTTTGGCTTTGTTCATCTACTAGTTAGGGATATCGATAAAACCCTTTTGGTTGTTTTTTACTAATGATTGATTCTTGGAAGACTTTAAGAAATGTAAAATGCCAAACGGAAGTAAAGACAAGAATATTTATGTTAAAACCAACTGTGTTTTCTGTTTTCTATCTCTGTAAAAAAAAGTTAAGTCACAACAAATTGTTTAAAACTTCAAGTTCCTTCCAAATGAAAGACACACATAAAAATGAAATGTTAGTATTTTCCAATTATGTGCCCCTCATAATCTTGCATTTACCTTTTTCAGGAATAGGAAAGTGATACTCACCCAGGATGGAAGTGTGTCCTTACTGTAAGAAGCCATTCAAACGATTAAAAGCCCATTTGCCATACTGTAAGATGATAGGGCTAACTGTACCTGCTGATCAGTCCAAGCCAGCTACACGCCCACACACTAAAAAAATGAAAAAAATCGCAGACATCAAGAACACTAAAGAGAGAGAATTAGAGACGGAGAGTAAGAAGAGAAATACTGACTCGGTAAAATACAAACCAGAACAGGCAGTGAAGTCTTTTCCACTACTGGCTGTTGGTTTGGAAAGTAATACAAAGGCAGATAAAGACATTAAGAATACAGTTCAGTGCTCCATCAAAAAGCTAAAAAATACTAAGCCAAAGATTACTTTCCAGGGAGAAACAAAGGCTCAGTTTTATGCATCAGAGAACACCACTCCTAAAACAGAACTTGCCAAAGATTTGCCTGCATCAGGAGAAAGTAGAAGTAATCTTTCAGAAACTGAAACATCTTTACTTCTTGACCCAGTTGAACCTTCTTTGTCAAATCAAGATAGAAAATATTCTTCAGCCTTACCCAATGATGTACCGACCACTTCTACTAATTTAAGGTTGGACAAAATTGATCCCCCAAGACAGAAGCTTCTAGTAGATTTATTAGATATGCCTATTGGTGATTATCACAGTTCTCCCGTGAATCTCAGTTATGGGGTTGAAAGAACAACGTCATTGTCAAGCAATGAGAGTGTGTCCAAGGCCAGGGACCACCTCTCAGAAGTCTCTACTGACGTTAGAGACTCCAAGACTGAAGAAAACATGGAATCACAAATTCTGAATTTTAAAGTTAGCCCAGTGGGTGACATCCAAGTCAAGGAGACCCAAGAAAAAGGACAGAAGCTTGGAATAGACACACGTGGGAACAAAGGAAATAGAGAGAAAAGCGTATCTGTGCTAGAAATGCAGGAATGGGCTTCTGTGAACGGTGGTGCAGAGAACTTTAGTAGTGGTGATTCAGCCACAGAGAAGAAATGTCAAGATGAAGGTCCGGGTTTACATTTGTTCACTCCAAGAGAGACAGCCTGCAGTGAGCTGCTTTCTGCATCACAGTCCCATAATCAAAGCCTTGCCTCTCTAGCTGTCAGGTTTTTTCAAGAAGAGAAAGCAGAAGCCTGCAGTCCTAACCAAGTCCTCAATGTGAAGGCATTAACAGAGAACAGTGAACGAGCTTCTGTGCAGCACAGATCTGGCTGTGGGCCCCAAGTATCACACCATGGGTGCCAGCAAACCTTACATTCAGTCCTGCCTCACACCTCTTCCAGCCCCTTCACTCAGATGGGCGTTGCTGATAGGAAGACCCTTTCAAGCACCCTGGGGCTGGAGTGGTTTCCAGAGCTCTATCCTGGTTATCTTGGACTAGGAGTGTTGCCAGGGAAGCCCCAGTATTGGAATGCAATGGCCCAGAAGCCTCAGCTCACCAATCCCCAGGGAGAGAGACTGTCTCAAGGTAAACATGCTCATTTACAAGGGCCATCCCGCCCATCCAGACAGCTCTGTGCCTTTTGAATTAATAAGGTTCAGAATACTCCTGCTTTTGCTTATTTAGCTTGATTTTACCTAGGCATTCCAGTAAACCAGACTTAAAATTGTTCTGAAAACATTAATTCTTGCTCCAGAATTAGTATCAGTGATTTATCACGCTCCCTTCCCCTGCACGCACCATTGAAGGCTGGACTAGGCCAGGTCGGCCGGTGACATTGATCTCTTGAGTTTCCGCATCAGGAGGAGGCTTGGCCAGTAGGGCAAGTATTCAGGCTGTCTTGAGAGATTTCGGTAAGGAGTCAAGGAAAGAGATGGGACAGACTGAGTCGCCTCAGAAGGTGTCTGGTGGCTCCTTGGCAGTTCCTGGAATGGGTTAAGTGGCCCCACAGAACCAGGAAGTTCCTGCCATTTCAGGGACTTTTCACTTTTTCCTGCGGGACCTTACCTTTAGTTATTGGACTGCCTCTGTAGTTAGAGTACATGAAGTTTCTTCATTTTCCTCACCAGGAAGCTTTAGGGTTTTTCTTAAAAACCTTTTCTTAAAAGAGGTTTTCTGAAAGCACAGGTCATGCAGCACTCATCTCTTGTGTATGTAGTATTCACTAGTGCTTTTAGTTTAGCTTCAACAGGAGACCCGTAGCAGCTCAGAAAAGCATCACACCTGAGGAACTACTTAATATTTCTTATAGGGATATATATTTCCTCTCCAGTAGATCTTGTGAATTATTACATATTCACTAAACCACAAGTCATCTGGTCTGAAAAGCATTTTCTTTTAGAAGATTTCAAAACAGGAAAGCCTGGGTAGCTCTGCAGTTGAGCATCTGCCTTTGGCTCCGGGTGTGATCGCAGATTTCTGAGATCAAGTCCCACGTCGGGCTCCCTGCATGGAGCCTGCTTCTCCCTCTGCCTGTGTCTGCCTCTCTGAGTCTCATGAATAAATAAAATCTTTAAAAAAAAAAAAAGATTTCAAAACAAATGTTAAGTGAAGAATATTGCTATCTAAAGCTACATCTTCCTCACCTGCTGCAGTGATTGCCAGTTTGCTCCAAACAGACCTACCATCTAGGCCCTCCTTATGAAGTTATAATCTGTTTCAAGGTCAGAGTTAGGCTTTCAAACCCCTTCTCCGTGTTGACATAGAATTACACTGACATTTGTGTTGCTCTTCTGTTTTGAGAATGCTTCCATTTTCTTATTTCGACCTTGCCGCTCTGAGAGGTAGGCAGTGATTTTTATCTCTGCTTTGCAGGTTTGATTAAACAGGCACAGAGAGGATAAGTGGTTGGTTCAAGGTCATGTTGCCAGTAGGTGGTAGGGCTGTAGGTAGAGCACGGTCTCTCCAGACCACATTTCATCCTTTCTATTAGACCGTATTGCAAAAAGTGTGCCATAAGTAGAAACACAGGTGGTGGTTAGATCTGTGTACCTCTTGGTTTGCAGTGGCCCGTGGCGAATCTTTCTGGCAAGTGGAACTTCCTTATTTCCTGTACTATCTTTAATAGCGCTGGGAGTGTCTCTGACACACAAGCTTTTCATTTCAGAAGAAAAGGGGAGGAGACTAACGGTCATGATGACAATATCAGACACTGCTAGGTGTGTTGCATTATTACCTCATTCAACCCTCCTGGCAACTCAGGTGACTGTCACTGAAGTCACAGTCTTGCCCTCTTTACGGGCGAAGAATCTGAGCCCCAGATGTGTTAAGTGACTTGCCCACATTCACACAGTAAGTGGTCAGATAATCTTGAGTAGGCTCCACACACTCTAAGTTGAGTCAGGCACCCCAGGTTCAAAGCTGTTCTGTCCTCTTTTATCGGTTACAGTCTGCAGTACTCTGAGTAATTTGGCAGACTGATAGTTTTGAGGACACCACAGAGTTGGGTTTCAGTAAGTCAGGAACGAGAATTAGGCTTATGGAACTTGGCAGCATTAGCCATCGTGTGAGGTTTAGGGAGAAGGATTTTCACATCCTTACTACCCAAAAAAAGTAGTTTTCCCAGCATTAACAAAAATAGATTTTTAGAAGTTCAAGATTTAAATTACTAGAGACTCAGCAAGTACTAGTGTCAGAAGGGTCCTCAGCAATAAAAATTGGTTTCCTTTCTTCAGAAAAAGCCTTGTGAGCACCTAGGTGGGGGCACTTGGCTGAGTATTGGCCAAATTCAGGTGCCTTGGCTTTCGGGACTCCAGTTGAAGAGATCTAGGTCCTTGGATCCCAAACAATTGACAGTTTCACATAGATGAAAGATTCCTGGACCTCATTCCCAAAGACTGATCCTGAAGCAAAGTCTAATCCCAGGTGGTTGTGTTTTGTTTTGTTTTGTTTTGTTTTGTTTTTTGTTTTAAGATGGTATTTATTCATGAGAGAGGCAGAGGGATGTGAGACTCGATCCCAGGACCCCGGGATCATGCCGAAGGCAAATGCTCAACCACTGAGCCACCCAGCATCCCTAATAATCCTGTCTTCAAACATTTCTTAAGTGTTTCTACAGAGGAGCCAAGTTAGAGTACAGCTGGTGTTGGGGAGGCCACTGGAGGCAGGGGCCTCAGACCCAGGATGAAGGTGTTGGCAAACAAATGGGGGTAGAAAGGTTTGGAAAACACAGTTCATAGAACTACAGAATGCAAAAGTTGGCTGGTGGGACTAGGAGAACAGAAAGTGAAGAAACCTTTATAGGGTCATGGGTTTGGGTGGGTTTGTTTTTTTATTTATTTATTTTAGAACACAAGCGGGAGGGGCAGGGTGAGGAAGAAAGACTCCCCACTAAGCACAGAGGCCCACACAAAGCTTGATCCCACAACCCTGAGCTCACAGCCTGAGCTGAAACCAAGACTTGGGCACTTAACTGACCGTGCTACACAGGTGCCCCGATCGTGGGTTTTTAAAGGCCTTGCTCTCATCATCAAACAGCATTTCCATCAATAAGCTACCCTGGTGAGATGTTTGAGACAGCACACATGGGGAAGGGGCTCAGAGTAGTCGGGATTGGAGCAAAACTGAAGTATGACAAGCCAGGGTGGGGTCTGCTAGTAGCTAAGGAGGTCATGAAAGGGGATGTTTTAAATAAAAGCGCCTGTGACAACAGCCAGAGACATGAGGGGTGAGTCAAATCCCCTGACTGGAATTGCAGTGAGGCCAGAAGGGTGGCAGGCAATGTTAGAGATATAAAGGTAGGGACAGTTCCAGGGTTCCTATTAGTGAAGCCATTGTCACTAGATTAGGGGATGCAAGGACGTCAACACTGGCAGGTCAAGGATAATGTCTAAATGAGATGACAGTGGGTGTTAGCAGTCCTGGGCCCACAGCCAGGCAGAAAGGGTTGTAGGTCAGAACCCAGGGTCCCTGAGTAGCAGGAAGGATGACACTGGAGACACAGAATTTCTGTGGATTCTGGGCTGGCCTCTCCTGGGCCTCGGGCTTTTAATCCCATCTCAGGGCCGGAACTGATGTCATTTAGTCAAGTCTGAACCCTTAGTGAAGGAGGCTGCTGGCAGAAGCAGGAACAGAGTTGAGGGAGGGACCACCCCGTTTCTAGCATGGCAGGGGAAGTGGTTCTACAATTGTAGTTTTCACAAGTGTCTCTTACCACCTTTTTCCATTTTTTTCCGAGAATGGACTATGCCATGCTTTTTTAGAGAGCTTAATCTTCACTTTGCAAAATAATTATCTTCTGTGTAATTTCTTGGAAGCCAGTATGGGTTTTCTCATTGTTACTTAATGTGATGATCATTTGGGTAGCATTTTTACATCCATAGCAACTTTTATTTCATCTGCTGAACCTGTCATAAATACTTGCCTTATTTTATCCTTTATCTTGATGAAGCCAAACAAGACCAGAGAACAGCAACAGTAGAGATTCTCTACCTGTCATTAAAACAGAAAAAAAGGTATAGGAAAGCTATAAATAAATAGCATAAGCCCTCCTTCCTGGCTCTAAGTTTGTTACATGTCGAACGTAAATAAGAAATGTTGGCTGGTCAGTAATAGCACTGGACTAACAGGGCACACATGTTGACTCTGGTACGTGTAGTGACAAGTAGCAGTAGGTACTATAATAGAGAGTCACGCCTTCTGGTAGTATGTTTAGCCAATTGGAGAAAACACAGGCAGTTCATTTCATTAAACATGTACACCTGGATCATCTGTGCACTATATTCATCAGATCAAAAACGTATCCAGGTCCTGATCCCCAGGGGCTCCTTCAACCTTTTGAAGAACCTCTTTTTGACTGGGAATCAACTGCTTTGACTCGGCGCCTTGCTAGCTGCAGCTCCGCAGAGCCAGTAACCCAGCTGTTTAGATACACTTCCTGCAGCCTGGCCCTGGGAACTGCAGGCACGAAGTGTCGGGAAAGAGACTGACTCTAGATGAACATCACAGTGCCTTCTGTTTGGAACCGTAGTTCCTTTGTTGGAAAGAAGCTCGACTGCTCTCAAGAGTTTGGAACCCCCGACCAGACTTACAACCTCCAGCTTGTTTCTGATGAGGCTCTTGGGAGCTGTCCAGAAAGGTGAGCTGGAGTCACGGACTGTTGGGTTGTGTTGCTGGTTCCGAGCATTTGGAAAAGTTTCTCTTACTTTAGCCATGGCTGTGACAGCAAGGCTAAGGAGAAGAAAGAGACAAGTGTAGAGTCTTCCTTCTCTTCTCTTTTTTACCCCGGAATGTGATGTAGTTGAGAACACTAAAGGTAGGAGAACAGCAGCTGCCACTTACGGAACAGAATTCATTTCTGTAATATCCCCCCTGCCACCTACCCTCCCCTCTCCCTTGCCCACCTCGATCCTCCCAAAGCCAGGAGGACTCTGCACAGTTGTATTAGTCTCCTTCCCACTTATGATTTCAGCCAAACTCTCAAAACAAGAGTAACTAAATTTATTAAAATTGAGGTCTTCCAGATTTGAGCTTGTTCATCTGTTTAAAAATTACCTATGTGGTGGTAGGTGGTACATTCTGTGCATTACAAACCCACCGCCCAGGCTAACTAGGAAAACCTGAATAACTGGCAGGTCACGGCCCCTGGTTACAGTTCACCATAGCAACCAGATATGTTTCTTTTTAAACAGGCTGGATCAGGTGCAGCACCACCGTGAGGAGTGGAGTTGGGGGCGTCACCATGCTCTTCATGGGATACTTCGTCCTGTGGTGCGGCTGGAGTTTCCGGCATCTGAGTAATAAGCCTTTTTGATATTTTTAATCTATATCACAGGTCACATCCCATTACAGGGACTTCCGGGGGATTCTCTGAATTGTTTTTTATATTATAGCATTGCATTATCTGACATGCCCAGTGAATGAGGCACTGCCTGAGGCTCTGGGGTTTCTTATTAGAGGTTTTTGTTATAATGACCTTTATAAGACTTGACTACGGTTTACATAATTGCTCCTCTGCTCTGCGTGAGGTTGTCACTGGAGATCTGGTGGTCTTCTGCTTTCTCCTTAAAGTAGTTTGCCTGCCAGATCAGCACCCTTCTTAATTCCTGCCTTAGAACTTTTTAGCATTGAAACCAAACAGCTTTATATCCCAAGAGAGGGGGAGAAACAATACAGCTGTCATTCATGTGTCTAAGGGTCACAGAAGTCTTCATTAACGTTACTTTCACCATCTAAAACACAATTAACACCCTTCTAGTTAGGAGCTTCAGCTTGAGTCAGGTCTTACCAGGAAGAAAACTATCTGGACTTCATTTCTCTTTTAGTTTAAGAAAACTTTTCTCATTTTTTTTTTTTAAGTATTGCCTTATAAAAAATATGCTGTTGTATATAGCAGAATATCAAAAAAGCCTAGTATTTTTTTCAGGTAAAAAAAGTCCAGATGCTTTCTGAAAACTTGCAGTGTGAAAGTACAAGATAACCATTAGTACCAATAAAATTCATAAATGGTTAATAGGATTTCTGGAATACCAGGACTTGGGGTTCCCGGCTGGCTCAGTCGGTGAAGCACATGACTCTCGATCCCAAGGCCATGAGTTCAAGCCCCATGTTGGGCATGAGGCCTACCTAAAATACTAATTTTTTAAAATTAAAAAATAAGACATGACTAACTGGATTTTTGGACTGATTGGATATCTAGTAAGTGGGAAAGCAGGTCAAACAGCAGAAATAGGACTGCTGGGCACCTGGTAGGTATCATGTGACACACCTGTCCGTTTGTGACAAAGAGGGGTTCCTTTCGGATCAGTCCAGCATGAACAGAGACTCCTAAAACCTCAACTGACTTCTTTCCCAGGGATAAGGCTTCCCCCTAAAGGCTTAGCTGTCTGAAAGGGCTCAACTTGGGTGATACCAGAGGTGGTTTTTCACATCTTTGAATTGAAGAAAGGGAAGCAGACATTTCTGGTTGCACCAAAGACTTTATTTCTAAACCTAGAAAACAGAAGGGACCCAGAATGATCTATACAGGCAAAAGGCAGAAACAGTCCTTAGGAGTGGCCCCTTGGATCCTTACACTTCTCTGTTTATCCAAAGAGCTGCAGCGCTGGCGCAAGTGACGACGTGGACACCATGTAAGGAAGCTCGGAGGCTGCGGGGAGCGTGCGGTAGAGGCAGCTGCGGTGCATGTTTAACACTGTAAAATGGTTTGGGGGTTGGGGAAGGAGTGAAAAGAATAAAATTATTGGGATCTAAAACAGTTCTATACGAAGTCAGTTCTTACCACGTGGACAGGTCTCATTCTGTGTGGACATTTCTTTGGCTGGCTCTCAGGAGTGGCACAGTTACTGAAAAGACTTTGCTCTTAAAGGCTGCTGGTGTTCAGGGAGGCATGAAGATTAAATAGAGGTCACTAAAATTTTTTTTAAGTATTTCTTAATTCTGGATCCCTGGGTGGCGCAGCAGTTTGGCGCCTGCCTTTGGCCCAGGGCGCGATCCTGGAGACTCGGGATCGAATCCCACGTCGGGCTCCCGGTGCATGGAGCCTGCTTCTCCCTCTGCCTGTGTCTCTGCCTCTCTCTCTCTCTCTCTCTCTCTCTCTCTCTCTCTCTCTCTGTGACTATCATAAATAAATAAAAATTTAAAAAAAAAAGTATTTCTTAATTCTCAGGAAATACTGAATCTTTTAACTCTTTCTCCCTATAATTCTCCCTATAATCCCTATATTCTCTAAGCTTTGGCATTTTCCTATTCATCCACATGGGATACCAGGCTACATATGTACTGATACATAATAGTATGTGGAGTGGCAGAAAATGGGCTTGCATCAGGGTCTTTGGGGTCCTTGACTAGATCTTGGCAGGCATAAGAAACCAGAAAGTACAGGTAGATTCAGAGTTGCAGGTGAGCCTATGAAAAATCCTTAGTATGTCCTTAAGCTGATTAAAACGAAATGGCACACTGAACAGAATTTTAAATCACTTTTTATACATCTTAAGTGAGTATAATAATGAGCAAATGGTTTCTGTTTCTCATCTCTTCCTGGAAACTTTCAGAATCCCACCCCATCACTTCCTAAGAATTTCAGTGAAGTACTCCCGACATTCCTTCTACTTTGTTAGGGTTGTTTTTTGCTGGTGAGTTTTCTGTGTCTCTTTCCCCCATCAAAATGTTCAGTGTTTTTTCTAATTTGAAGGCTTCTGCTTTGGCCCCTGGACAGTAACTTGACAAAAAAGATAGATCTATCAAGATAAGATAGAAAAAGATAGATCTAGTTACTAGCTAGAAAAGGTTTTGAGGAAGCATGATCTAGATAGCACGGGTGGGTAACTGTTGCTCCAGGCCCTTTTCCATCACGGGGGTGATTTTATCGATCATAGATACGTTTACATCTACCCGTCGGTTTTACACACACACAACATAGTAGCTTTGCTTGTAATATCCTCTTGCCAAATACAGGAGACCCATCCCTGTTTGGTCCCAGCTCCTTCAAAACTACAAGTAAGTGGGTGTGCTGTTGTAAGGCCAGCATGTATTTGCACATCTCTCTCCCCTCAAAACTTGAATTCTGGCTCTATCTTCTGCTTTATCTACCTTTTCTATTCCCAGTCCCTGGTCTCTCTCTAATTATCCCCAATGGGAGTAATTTAATTCTGCATCAATTTCTCATGGTTAGGGGAAAGGTATACTAGACTTCTCCATAAGGAAAAATTCGTGGTTGAGGAAAAGAGTGCTACTTTTGGTTATCTTAGTCTAATATTACTAAGTTCATTGAAATTCCAAAAACTAGCCTTTTTTTTTTTTTTAAAGATTTTATTTATTTGTAAGAGACACAGGCAGATAGACAAACAGGCTCCCTGCGGGGAGACTCAACCCAGGAACTCTGGCATCATGCCCTGAGCCATACAGGCTTCCCCAAAACTAGTTTTCATTTTGAAAGGGCTTTGTGTCCATCCTTTGCAAATGCCCTTTAAGAGCGGTACCTGGGGAGGGATGCTCCCTCCACTTCCCCCTTTGTTCTCAGTCTAGGTCTGAAACCCTTCCAGCTGCCAAGGTGGCGGAGAACACCAGATAGCCTTACGCCCACTTCCCCAGACCCCTCAAGCAGGCTGCAGCAGGCTACAATGGCCTGTGGCCGGGTCCAGGCCACTGCCTGTTTTGTAAATAAAGTTTCCCTAAAGCTCAGCCCTGCTCCTTTGGTTAGGTGTTGCCTATAGCGGCAGAGCTGAGTAGTTGTGACAGAGACCAAGGGGTTTGCAAAGTTGAATCAGCTATGACCATGTGTGGCCCCTGCCCTAGAGGGGTGGGACCCTCCCAGGAGCCTCTGGAGTGTTGACAGCAACTTGGGAATCACTGCTCTAAAATGTTTCAAGTTAGGAAACACATTTAAGTAGACACCTTTCTTTTTTTTAGATTTCATTTATTTATCCACAAGAGACAGGCAGAGGGAGAAGCAGAAGAGAGAATGCAGGGAGCCCAACGTGGGACTCAATCCCAGATCTCCAGGATCACACCCTGGGCCGAAGGTGGTGCTAAACCACTACTGATCCACCCGGGCTGCCCAGTAGTAGACCCTTTTCTTGAGGGGATACCTGGATGGCTCACTCGGTTAAGTGTCTGCCTTTGGCTCAGGTGATAATCTCAGGGTCCAAGGATCGAGCCCCTCATCGGGCTCCCAGCTCAGGAAGCCTGCTTTTCCCTCTCCTGCTGCCCTCCCCCCCCCCCCCCCGCTGTGCTCACTCTGTCAAATAAATAAAATCTTTAAAAAAAACAAAAACCTTTCTTGAGTTAGAACCTTGAGTGTC